TGAAATAAGACAACACTAACTGAAAAGTAGCTTTGTAGCAACATTTAGAGGCTTGTTTTAAGTAAATAATTACTTAATATTGAGGAGGAAGCACTTGTTCTGAATGAAGATTATTTCACTTATAACAAAGGTGTCAAACTCATTTTCATTTTGAGCCAAATCAAGATCATAAAGGCTCTTAAAGGGCCGGTTGTGCCAGAACGTATTGATAAAACTTGTTAAACTGTTAAAATATCAATGAATTCTTAAAATTAAATATTATTGAATATATTTTCACTCCCTCCAGGATTTAGTGATACCTTTTGTGATTTTTTTTTGCAATAAAAATCAAAGTATTCGTGATACTAATTTGTGATACTAATTTTGAAATATTTGTGCTTATTTATGACGGTTAATGTGACTTTTTATAACCTGCTGTATAGATGACAAACTATAATCTGACAACAGTTAAAGCAGAGGCAGCTGTTTAGTACAAGTAAAGTTTTTGACAATTTTTGAGAAAAATCTGCAATAAACAGCCAACTATATATTAGCGCTAAAAAGTGTGTAGATTTGTTGATTTTGTGTGAATTTCCATGATAATTCTCCAGAAATTGGAGGGACTGATTGACATAATTTAGCAGTAAACAGATTAAAACTGAATTCATTTGATTGATTACATAATATTTAAGCACATTTAGCGTTTAGTCTTGAATCTAGAGGGCCACATAAGAAGCTATGGCGGGCCAGATTTGGCCCATGGGCCTTGAGTTTGACACGTGACTTATAACAACACTATTTTACAAGTTAATTTGGAACAAGCAGTTTTTCATCGTTTAAAAGGAATTATTTACTTAAAACAAGTGCATGTAAATTGCTGAAAAGTTACTTTTAAGTTAGTTTGTCTTATTCCAAGTGTACTAAGCTATTTGGAATAGAAACTAGACAAAAACTCTGAGTAAAACTTTGTGTTTTTGCAGTGGAGCCAAAAGAAGCAAAACATCTCAGTCATTCGCAATCTAATTTTAAAGTTTCAAGAAGTTTTGAATGATTAATAATTACAAATATGTCATAATTTTGAGCTTGCTTTGAAAAAATACGTGGAAGTCGATTTCAGCTCAGTGAGGTGGGAGATTTTGAACAAAGGAGGAGATAGAAAAGCTAAAGGGAAGGAAAAAGTTGTCATTTTACATAAGGATGATTTCTGTCCCCTGCCTATTTGGGCCTCTAACAGCCCCACAGCTACCAGTGCAGCCCAGATTACATAAAGCAGCCTCCAACCACTGCAGCTGTAACAATAACATGCAGTGACTGAAAATGGAAAATACGACACGTGCTGGTGATACTCACTGAGGCTGCAGCCAAGGCCTCCTGGTCGTAGTACTTCTTCCTCTCGTATTTGTCCCGGATGAAAACTTCCACGGCTCTAAAGCTTGGAATTAAGGACTGGAACAGAAAACAAGTCAACCACAATGCAAAAACACAAAATCTTACCAAACATTTCTGATGATAAAACTCCTCAGTTTGGTGCTTTGGTCTCAACTAGACAACTTAGTTTACAGAGACTTTAAAATTCATTTTTTTGTCTTTTCTGTTTATTTAAAATGTCTTCCAGGTCCAGGGTTAAATGTGCATAAGAAATAAAATTTAATGAATTATGAGAATAAGTTCTTGCATTATACTTGAAAATGGTCTCAAAACCACATCATCGTTTATTGCAATAACTTATAGGACAATTTATCGTCTTATTGACTTAAAACAAACTCCTATATCCTGCTGAAAAGTTACTTGTAAGTTAGTTTTGTCTTATTTCAAGTGCAGCAAGATATTTGCACTAGAAACTAAAAACACACAGTTTCAGGAAGTGTTAACAATATGATCTCATCTCAAACTTCATCTTTTCACAAAGATTTTGGTGCCAAACTGAGTTAATAAGAATTTATAACATTCTGATTAACTTCAGATGGTTACACACAGATCTAATGATTTGTTTGAGCCATTTATTTCAAGATTGAGAGATTTAAGCTCTTCTTGGAAATGGTAAATTAATTTATAGTTGTTGGTTTCCCCCTATGCTCTCTGCTACACTGTACCTATTGGTTGTGTATACGCTGCTCTTACCCAAACCCTTTCTATCAGCTGCGCTGCAGCTGGTTCACCACAATATAGCCCGTCCTGAATATTATTGCTAGTCAGTTAGCATAACCACCATTGACGGTAGCTAAAAGCCTTTCCTGAAACTGTAAGTTGTTTCTCCACCATTAGCACGTAGAACAATCATACATAAGCATGATTGACAGCGCTTCAACCCTCCTCCTGACTGATTAGCTGGTTTTGTTAGCCCAGGTAGGAGGTGGGGGAGATTTTTTAAATCAGATTATTTGTATCATAACTTACTGTCACAACATGGTGACAATTTTAAAAACATATGTAAAAAAACATATTTTTCTCATAAAAGTTACATACCACAGCTTTTAAACACATGTCGTTTCAAAAATAACATGTTAAAGTGACCAACTTGATCAAGGTTTATAGAGATTTGGTTATAAAAGGGTTCCTACAACTGCGACTGTAAACTATATTTCACATACAAATCTGGGCACAAACTCTGAGGCTCCCACTATATCCCAACCCACAGCATCACAACACAAGCATTAATCCCAGACCTCTTATCTCCCCATTTCAGCAGCAATGCTTCTGTCAGATCAGTAACAGACCTCAAAAGATTGAGGAGCGATGACCACCCACACGGGTGGAGCTAAGCGATAGGATGGAGGAGGCCTGCATCTCAAACGCAGCCTTTATTTATCACAGTGGAGTGGAAACAGCAGAGCAGATCGGACGCAATCCACCGTGGCTCTCAGGATAGAAAGAGAGAAATGACAGCATCGTTACGCGAGACGGCAGGGAAGCGTCCGATTAGGTCGGACGCCGCAACAAAACCAGATTTAGGAACAAATATATAAAAAGAAACCACTGACAAAGTATTGCACATATAACCAAACTGAAAAACAACAAAAAAATATGATTTATTAAAGTGCCCATATATTAGTTTTAAGCTAAAATACAAAAGTCATGGAGAGGAAGTCCAGCTTCTCTGCTTCTATAGAAGTGAATAGAGGAATATAATAGAGAAGAAAAAAGTTGATATATTTTTCTACTTCATTTGGATAATTTGTGAGGTTTACGCTGCAGTATGGATTTTTATTTTTTTTTTAAATTCTTACATATATTTTTTTAAACTGTCACCATGTTGTGTTATGATACAGATAATCTGATTTAAGAAATCTCCTCCATCTCCTAATGAGCTATTATTGCCATCTAAAGAAATGTGGCGCTCCTGATCAAAAACAACCAATCAGAGCCAGGAGGAGGGTCTTGGCGCCGTCAATCAAGCTCGTGTACAGCTGTTGTATGTGGTAACTGTTGAGAAACAACTTACAGTTTCTGGTAAGCCTTTTAACCGCCATCATTGGTGGTTATGCTAACTAGCTTTAGCATTCAGGACAGCCTATTTTGTGTATGTGTAGCATGTACACACCCATTATTGACAGCACTAAAGAAGACAGAGGAGCTCGATTTTTTCAGATTATCTCATACTATACTGTCATGACATATTAGTAGCTGCAACAAATATGTGAAAAACATTAATTTTAAAATGTATGGATTGCAGCTTTAATTCATACCATTAAAAATTAAACAAAATGAATGTGAACGAAGATGGAACCTTAGAAGATAAAATAAGTGCTAAAAAATGTTTGTGTTTATATAAAAGCCGAATCAAAAATGAATTCAAGTGTTTTTCTCTTCTTTTTTTGTTTACTTTTTTCTAGTATCAAAACATTTTTTAAGTGTCAAATTCTTCAGTTTTATTTTTTAATATCACATTTTTTGGTTTATATTTTTTCAGTTTATTTGTTTTTCTTTCAATTTTTTTCAGTTTCAAATCTTTTTTATTCCATATCAATTTTTTTTTGTATCAATTTTTTTTAAGTCTCATCTCTTTTCAGTTTTTTTTTCATATTGTACAGTCACAACATAGTGGCAGTTGTAACAAATGTGTGAAAATTTTTAAATGTACGCACTGCAGCTTTAATTCAAACTTTTACAAACTGAACTGGAAGATGAGACCTTAAAAGATAATAGATGAAGTACTAAAAAATGTGTAGAAAAATGTTTTTGAGTATATATAAAAACCAAATCAAAAATATTCAAGTGTTTTTTTAATTTGTTTTATTTATTGTTTTTTGGGGGGGTTAGCTTGGATATATAAAATATCTTCAAGTTCCAGTATTTAATGTTCTTTACTAAATTAAAGTTTATTGATCTGTGAGGGAGAAAATTTGAATTATCATTTATTGCAATAATTACTGGGACAATTTATCGTCCAGCAAAATGTGTTAGTGTGAAAGGCTTTCAGGATACAGAACCATGCAAACACTTCTACTGAGGAACAATTTAGAGCCATAAATTAACCGATTCCTGTGGGAGGAAACCAGAGTACCCAGAGAGGACTGACACACGCACTGGGAGAAAACACAAACTCCCAGCAGAAAAACCTCCGAATGAGATTTAAACACACACATACACACACACACAGCGAGGCGGTTGCTCTGCTAATCCCAGGTCCGTTATCTGCAGCTCTCAGCCAGCGCCGCTGCTGTCAGAACAACTAATGAACTTCAAAAGAATGAAGAACGATGACCACCCGCGCAAATGGGCCCTGCCAGATCCCAGATACTGCATTAGAGCCACGTTTCACACACAGATTATTTATTTCAGCCTACTGGACTAAAACATGAACATATCCAGTTACTGTCATGTCTGGTATCACAGAAAAGGGGGGAAACTGAAAGCTGCTGCAGACACAGCTGGAGGAGACCTGAGGAAAATAAGTGGAATGATAGCGATGTGGCGAGGCTGTTATTTAGTAATGGAAATGCTTAACAAGAAAAATACGAAGCGTCTGACTGTTATTTCAGAGTCAGAGCAGCTCTCAGCAGGAGTGGCTTCACCTCCTCAGTAAAAAACTGAAGCATTAAATATTTCAACCACCTCCAGCTGAGATTCAGGGTCTTCCAGGTCACTGGACTCAAATGGAGATAAACGTTCCTTTCTCGTTTCTGAAAATTACAAAATGTGGGATAGAAAATAGTAATTAGGGTCCATAGAAAGTATAGAAGCAGCAATCCGGTATCATCTGGATCGGTACCAATACTGAAAAATAATCAGGTGGGATTGATAATATGTCCAATCAATAAGGACGGATCTATTCAGTTTAACTCTATGTTGTGCCCAAATAAATTTTTTTATAAATAAAAATTAAACTGAGAATAATTTTGAAATCTACTTTTCAGAATCAATGATTTTTTTGTTTTGTTATAATTTCAGATTTTCAAATTCAAAATTTTGGCCCTTATTTATTTTTTGTTTTGATTCTATTCTTGGGTTAAATTTTTTTCAGTTTTAATTTTTTTAGATTCAAATTTTTTCCAGTTTCAACTTTTTAATTCCGTTTCAATTGTTTTATTTATTTTTTCTTCAATTTTTTTTAGTATCATTTTTTTATTCCGTTTTAAAATTTCAACTCTTTCAGCTTCATATTTTTGGTATCAAATTTTTTCAGTTTCATTTTTTTTAGTTTCATTTATTTTTTCAACTCTTTTCAGTTAAATTTTTTAGAATAATTTTTGTTAGTTTGTATTTCTTTTAGCTTATATTTTTTTCAGTTTTAAATCTTTTATATTCTGCATCAATTTTCTTTTAGTATCAATTTTTTTTAGTTTTTATTTTAAGTTTTCTCAGTTTCATTTTTTTAGTAATTTTTTTAAATTTTTTTTATTTAGTTTTAGTTTTTTCAGTTTCAATTCTTTTTCTTTTGATCAAACTTTTTTGGTCCCAATTTAGCTCCATAAAGATTCACACAAATCATTCTTAAATTGTTAAAAATAATATTATTAAAAAGCTAGCTGTTGAAACCCAGCCATGTGATTTCATGATGGGATCTGTGAATAACCAGTATGAGAACAAAGAGGGAGGATACTGGTCTGTCTGTGGTCTCCTGAAGCTCTCTGGTAGGTGGGCTTCATACAGCTGGCGGGCTCTGGTGTTCCCCATGTCCACCATGCTCTGCAAAAACAGTGAAAAAATAAACACTTAAACAGAAGAAGCGACATCAGAAATGATGGCGACTGGTGAACGAATCATCCCAGCGCACAGCAGGTTCTTTCACGCATCACATTTGCATTCAGCTCATTTTGCCCGCCGACTCCTTTGCATGCGTGCGCGCACACCGTGAAAGGACACACTGGCTGTATGCAACAAGGCCAAATTAAGAGGAGGGTGATGGATGGGGTGAAGATAGGAGAAAACAGAGTCGGAATAATCAGGCATCCAGAATTAATTAGTCACTGAATACAGTGATTAACATTCTAAGTGAGACGCTCCTCCACTCACACACAGCTGACGGAGAGGCGAATCCAGCTACTTTAACACACACACACACACACACACACACACACACACACACACACACCAAACAGCTGAATCTATTAACAACTGAATGATTTAAAAACGACTGGAAGGTTCGTATACGTCTGATAACACAGGATGGACTGAGGAAAGTAAACAAAACACTAAGCTAATCACAAGAGGCTAACAATATATCCATGTGTTTACATACGAGTTCCTATGACAACCAGGAAGATGGATAGATGAGGGCACACTAATATCTATCTATATATATATATATATATATATATATATATAAAAATACGGTTTAGACTGCAGCAGACATTCTTTCTTCCTTGATTCTTTCTTCCTTGCAGTGGTGAATAATTCCTCTGGTTTTGATCTGAATCATCTTTGCTGCTTCAATAAAAGATTTTCTTTTGGGCTTAAAGGCAAACGACTCGAGTCGTTTTCAAACGACATAAATCCTTTTTTCTCCCAACGTCTTTCATTAAATCCCCATCTTTCTTCTTTATTTTCAGAAATAAAAACTCCACACGTCTAACCCAGCAAATGAGTGAATGAGACAGAAAAGGTGCGTCTACTTCAAGCAAAGATATTGATCATTTATGGCTCACATTGTGGTTCAGATACCTGGATCTGCTCAGGTGTCCACTGGTCCAGGTTGACAGATTTGACCCTGGAGATGTGGACGCCCAGGTTGCGGTGGATGCCGGCGCAGCGGATGCACATGAACACCCCGAGGTTCCATGACGCCCATCGAGGCCCTTTAATCGGAAGAGGAAGAAGAACACTTTCACTTTAAAAGCTCAAATGTAACACATTCCAGGATTATAATTAGGCCCGTCGCAATAAGAAATAAATCAATTAATCGTAAGATAAATTAAAACAAACTCAATCATTTCCATTTGGATGATTTGTCGTTTTTCTCNGCACTGGGAGAAAACACAAACTCCCAGCAGAAAAACCTCCGAATGAGATTTAAACACACACATACACACACACACAGCGAGGCGGTTGCTCTGCTAATCCCAGGTCCGTTATCTGCAGCTCTCAGCCAGCGCCGCTGCTGTCAGAACAACTAATGAACTTCAAAAGAATGAAGAACGATGACCACCCGCGCAAATGGGCCCTGCCAGATCCCAGATACTGCATTAGAGCCACGTTTCACACACAGATTATTTATTTCAGCCTACTGGACTAAAACATGAACATATCCAGTTACTGTCATGTCTGGTATCACAGAAAAGGGGGGAAACTGAAAGCTGCTGCAGACACAGCTGGAGGAGACCTGAGGAAAATAAGTGGAATGATAGCGATGTGGCGAGGCTGTTATTTAGTAATGGAAATGCTTAACAAGAAAAATACGAAGCGTCTGACTGTTATTTCAGAGTCAGAGCAGCTCTCAGCAGGAGTGGCTTCACCTCCTCAGTAAAAAACTGAAGCATTAAATATTTCAACCACCTCCAGCTGAGATTCAGGGTCTTCCAGGTCACTGGACTCAAATGGAGATAAACGTTCCTTTCTCGTTTCTGAAAATTACAAAATGTGGGATAGAAAATAGTAATTAGGGTCCATAGAAAGTATAGAAGCAGCAATCCGGTATCATCTGGATCGGTACCAATACTGAAAAATAATCAGGTGGGATTGATAATATGTCCAATCAATAAGGACGGATCTATTCAGTTTAACTCTATGTTGTGCCCAAATAAATTTTTTTATAAATAAAAATTAAACTGAGAATAATTTTGAAATCTACTTTTCAGAATCAATGATTTTTTTGTTTTGTTATAATTTCAGATTTTCAAATTCAAAATTTTGGCCCTTATTTATTTTTTGTTTTGATTCTATTCTTGGGTTAAATTTTTTTCAGTTTTAATTTTTTTAGATTCAAATTTTTTCCAGTTTCAACTTTTTAATTCCGTTTCAATTGTTTTATTTATTTTTTCTTCAATTTTTTTTAGTATCATTTTTTTATTCCGTTTTAAAATTTCAACTCTTTCAGCTTCATATTTTTGGTATCAAATTTTTTCAGTTTCATTTTTTTTAGTTTCATTTATTTTTTCAACTCTTTTCAGTTAAATTTTTTAGAATAATTTTTGTTAGTTTGTATTTCTTTTAGCTTATATTTTTTTCAGTTTTAAATCTTTTATATTCTGCATCAATTTTCTTTTAGTATCAATTTTTTTTAGTTTTTATTTTAAGTTTTCTCAGTTTCATTTTTTTAGTAATTTTTTTAAATTTTTTTTATTTAGTTTTAGTTTTTTCAGTTTCAATTCTTTTTCTTTTGATCAAACTTTTTTGGTCCCAATTTAGCTCCATAAAGATTCACACAAATCATTCTTAAATTGTTAAAAATAATATTATTAAAAAGCTAGCTGTTGAAACCCAGCCATGTGATTTCATGATGGGATCTGTGAATAACCAGTATGAGAACAAAGAGGGAGGATACTGGTCTGTCTGTGGTCTCCTGAAGCTCTCTGGTAGGTGGGCTTCATACAGCTGGCGGGCTCTGGTGTTCCCCATGTCCACCATGCTCTGCAAAAACAGTGAAAAAATAAACACTTAAACAGAAGAAGCGACATCAGAAATGATGGCGACTGGTGAACGAATCATCCCAGCGCACAGCAGGTTCTTTCACGCATCACATTTGCATTCAGCTCATTTTGCCCGCCGACTCCTTTGCATGCGTGCGCGCACACCGTGAAAGGACACACTGGCTGTATGCAACAAGGCCAAATTAAGAGGAGGGTGATGGATGGGGTGAAGATAGGAGAAAACAGAGTCGGAATAATCAGGCATCCAGAATTAATTAGTCACTGAATACAGTGATTAACATTCTAAGTGAGACGCTCCTCCACTCACACACAGCTGACGGAGAGGCGAATCCAGCTACTTTAACACACACACACACCAAACAGCTGAATCTATTAACAACTGAATGATTTAAAAACGACTGGAAGGTTCGTATACGTCTGATAACACAGGATGGACTGAGGAAAGTAAACAAAACACTAAGCTAATCACAAGAGGCTAACAATATATCCATGTGTTTACATACGAGTTCCTATGACAACCAGGAAGATGGATAGATGAGGGCACACTAATATCTATCTATATATATATATATATATATATATATATATAAAAATACGGTTTAGACTGCAGCAGACATTCTTTCTTCCTTGATTCTTTCTTCCTTGCAGTGGTGAATAATTCCTCTGGTTTTGATCTGAATCATCTTTGCTGCTTCAATAAAAGATTTTCTTTTGGGCTTAAAGGCAAACGACTCGAGTCGTTTTCAAACGACATAAATCCTTTTTTCTCCCAACGTCTTTCATTAAATCCCCATCTTTCTTCTTTATTTTCAGAAATAAAAACTCCACACGTCTAACCCAGCAAATGAGTGAATGAGACAGAAAAGGTGCGTCTACTTCAAGCAAAGATATTGATCATTTATGGCTCACATTGTGGTTCAGATACCTGGATCTGCTCAGGTGTCCACTGGTCCAGGTTGACAGATTTGACCCTGGAGATGTGGACGCCCAGGTTGCGGTGGATGCCGGCGCAGCGGATGCACATGAACACCCCGAGGTTCCATGACGCCCATCGAGGCCCTTTAATCGGAAGAGGAAGAAGAACACTTTCACTTTAAAAGCTCAAATGTAACACATTCCAGGATTATAATTAGGCCCGTCGCAATAAGAAATAAATCAATTAATCGTAAGATAAATTAAAACAAACTCAATCATTTCCATTTGGATGATTTGTCGTTTTTCTCTTTCTACTGGATGACTAAAGTCTTCAGTCTGGTGTTTTGGTCTCAACTATCCATTTTTTAAAAGACAATTTTGTTTGCAGAGACTCCATAATTTATTTTATTTGCTATCTATGTTGTTTTATTTATTATTGACATTTAAAATGTCTTCTTGAGATTTTACATTAAAATATAAACTGATCTTATTGATTAAACTAGATTAGGGGTGTCCAAAGTGCGGCACCCGGGGCC